TCATTCAGCGGGTTATCCAACCCGATTCCATCCCCCCCTCTCTTCCCTTTTTTCTTGTACTATAGGCTTAAGAACTTGTATATATGTTGTTTTGTATGGGCGTGTTTGGCACGGAGCTTTTGGAAGCATTTGGGAGCTTCTAGCTTTTAGCTTTTGATAAAACGCTCTAAGTTTAAACAAAAAATTTCGTTTGACAGTACGAGCGTTTAGCTTTTAGTTTTAACAAAACGCTCCGATTCTAAAAGCTACTTCATGTAGCGTTTAACAAAACGCTCCTGAGCTTTTGAAATCAATTTCCATAATTACCTTTAAGAATATATTTATATATTTATTTATTTTTAATCAATTGTTCTTTTATGTAATTTAATATATTTCAAAAGCTTTCAGATACTTTTGCCAAACATTCATATAACAAATAAAAGTTACAGCTTCCTGCTACCAGCTAACCGCTACATGCTTCCAATTAACAGCTATTTTTGTCAAACACACCCTATGTGTTTTAAGTTTTAACTTAATAGATTGAGTGGGATGGAAAAGATGTTATTTCTGTGTTGGGAAAGATAGAAGAAATAGAAGAAAAAAAACTGTTGTGAAATTGATTGAATAAATAAAAGAAAAAAACTGATATGAAAGTGATTTGACTGCTAGTTGAAACTCCATAATACAAATGCCTCCTGACAAGAGATTCCATGTCTTTCATGTCCTAGTGGCAAATACCACAAATAATGGAAGAGATGTCATAAGATTGCTATATATGATTATGTTTATGTAGAGAAAAAAAATTGTTCAATATATATATAGTTTTAAATAAACCAACAACTTGTAAGACAATTTAATTTATACACATATATTTTAATTGTTTTCAAAAATAATGACAATTATAAGCCTGTTATGTGTGATCAACTAACTAGTAATTCACAATTGATTTGATGATTAGATTCGCATCCTAGACGGATTAGGAGTGTGACATATGCTGTGACATATTAAATTGGTTCATTGTCCGGTAACGTGAGATCAAGGTTGGTCACTAACTTGTACTATAAAGTTGTGTATATATTGTATTCATTTTCTTAGAGTTTTATATACTTATAAGAATCCAAAGATGGAATTTTTACCAAGCTTTTTTCATTTGTCATATCATATTTTGAGCTTCCGTTTTGTCTTAACTCTATGATTCAGAGTTTAATAAAGAAGAAAAAAACACGGAGAAAAAAAAAATGAAAAGATGTATTCTGTTTTTGTGTTCCCATGTTCGAAATAAATAAAATGAATGAAGTTCTATGATGAAGAATACAACGTATATTAGTTGGTTAGAAAGTCATGATTATAAAGTCTGTAATTTTTTCTATATTAGGTTGAAGGGAAATTTTTATAAATAAAAAAAGTCCTTGTATTTGAATTAGATTACTTTCTTTCCAAATTCATTAATTTTAAAAATAAAATTAGATGGGAAGATTATCAATAATCTCCCTGCGAAATGACATTTGACCTAGTGATATGAATGTGTATTAAAAGGTTTCTTATTTAATTGAATACGTATAGATGTAGACAAATGCTTTCGGTGGATATATATGTTTTCCCTTCTAATAATAATAATAATTATTATTATTATCGTCCCTTTTCTTATTTGTATGATTGTATCGTAGCATTAAAAAAATTGGAAAAAGAAATTCTCGAAACACATTATAAAGATAAAAAGATGATGTATTTTTTTGACTTGATATATAAAGCGTGTTTTAATAAGATATATTGGGGCCAATGAGGTCCAGTTCAACTGGACGGAGACACACTCTAGTTTTCCCATTCCAAAGGTTTCTGGGTGGAAACAAATTTGATTCGTCTCCAAAGCAATAAAGCCCTTAACGGGAAACTAGGTTGTTAGAGATGTTATTCTTTTATGGATGGATCGAACCCGGGTTCGTTGGATGTTATGACATACTATTCTATCTAATGTTACTACCCACTGCACCAAACCTCTTATTCAAAAAAAAAAAAAAAAAAAAAAAACTATATTGTGACAAGGACACTTTATACATTTATATCTTCGTTTTCTAATTTTACCTCATTACTTACTAAACCTTGCCCCCACATTTTTTTTGTGCTCGTCTCATCTTGCACAAAGAAATGAGTTAATCATTTAAATGAGTACCAATTTACGCATTGTGATGATGATTTGTGACAATGCATTTTTTGGTTCAATTGTTTTCATATATAAAGATTGTTTGTTTAAATACTTAAAATTAGAATTAGGAAGAATGGAATTTATATTTCTGACAATCAAACTTAATGTACATTTTATTTAAAATTATATTTATAACTATTATTAAATTATTAGTCATTAAAAAACATAAATTGTATACATGAGGGTATAGTGGTAATTTATTCATATTCAAACTTTTTATTAATTTCAAAAAAAAAAAAAAAAAAAGTCTATATCTAGGTAGAAATTATTATCTATTCAACCACCATATTCATTCATGACTTAGCATGAAAATAAATAAATAAATAAATAGCACCCTAACTTATACTTTTATTGGTTTGTGTCAAAAGATATTTTGTTATTGGTTAGTTCCTACTTAGATAAAATATATTAAAATACATATTAAGGTTATGTCTTAATGGTTAAAAAACAAAATATATCAAAATTTAAATTTTTTCTATAAATAAAGACCAAAATATATTTTATTATTGTTATTTAATATTTTATAATGGTTAAAAGTTGGATTATGTTGAATTGTTTGATAAATTTGGTAAAAATTGGTTTATATATGTTGTGTATATAAAAGAAAATTGATTTTTTTAGCATAAAATAAAAAAGTCATGAATAAAAAATATAAAATAAATATAAAATAAAACTATTTGAGTAGCTTTTTTAAAGATTCTTTGATTAGCATTTCCAATAATTGTGATGGGTCTTATAGTTTTCAACCAATTAGTAATAAACAACTTATACAAACAATATATAAAGAATCAAATTGAAAATACTTTGTTATTGTAAAAATATAATAAGTTTTTTCATAAAATATGAGTAAAAAAATCCACAAAAAAACTATGTGTATTTTTTAACTATAGTGTTATGATGATGTGTATAAAAAATATTAAATGAAACTTTAATGATATGACATGTGTATATTGGACTCATACACATACACCATCCCAACCTAACACCTCGTGGAAACACATGGAGGGCTCAACGCAATGCAACACACCCTTATCTTTTTCTTCCTCTATTCTCCTCTACTTTTCTTCCTTCTTGGCCTCAAGACGGCGTTCATGGATGAACATCATCCCTCTAAGGGAAGAGGGAGTCGTTCCCTCCCAACTCACTGAACTCACTGTCATATCAATTGTTTCTTCTTTTTTTTCATCTTTTCCAACCCACAACACACGAAAATCTTATCTTTCTCAACTAATTTAATTTTAAAAAATACAAAACAACTAAAGTACAAGTTTTAAAACAGTTGGTATAAGAGAAAATGAGAGAGAGAAAGTAGAGAGAGATGATGATGTGGTTAAGTGAAACCAATTAAACAATCCGTTGAAACGGGAGTAATACCCCGGTAACTCTATTGTTAATTAAGATTTTATATTTGACGGTTTTTAATTTTTTTTTTTTTAATTGAATGGGTTGAAAGGGTTAGGGTTGTTAATTGGGTCAACCCGATCGGGTTTCGGGTTAAACGGGTTGGGTTAATCGGGTTTTCACAAAAAATAATTTAACCTGACACCCGACCCTATTAAGGTATGGGCTGGTCGGGTTCGGGTTAATCGGGTTTCGGGTTAATAGGGTCGGGTTAGTTGAGTTAGTCGAGTTAATACACTAAACGCTTAATTTAAACATAATATATATAGTTTTTTCAAGAGTGAAACCATTTTTTACTCTTTTCTTAACATCAATAATGCATACAAATTGAAATAAATTAAAAATAAAATATCATAGAGCTCATGGTTATTACAGCATACGAGAAAGCATGCATACCACAATAGCTAAAATAATTCTTCCATTATAAATATTAAATAGATGAACTTTCAATCTCTTGTTAACGATCAACATCATGTAGTTTATTCATGTTTATACTTAATTTAAAATAGAAATAACTATCAAAATAAAATCTTTACTTTCTCGATCGCTCTAGTACTTTTGAGATGTGGAGGTTTTATATTCTTTTGGACTTCAACTTCACAAATAGGAGTTACTTGAGCATCATATGCTTCTAGAGTCATAAAATTTTACATTTTCAAAGGGTTTGTAGTCTTTTTGTACTGTTCAAGTAGAGAGCAGTGGAATATATAAAGGTTGTGAATTCCTAACCGGGTTATTCGAGTTGACCCGAAACCCGATTTTTTTATAAAAATCAACCCTAAACCCGACCCCAACTACAAATCGGGTTTGTCGGGTTAACCCGATTTGGAATTCTATCCCTATTGAACCCGACCCTAATTACCTTATTCTGATTAGAGTCGGGTCGGGTTAATCAGGTTCAGGTTTTTTTGACACCCCTAGAAAGGGTTTAAAAAGATAGGATTTTCGTATGTTATGAATTTGAAAAGATGAATAAAAATAAAAAAGAAAAAATAATATAGCAGTGGGTTCAATGAGTTGGAATGGAATAACTCCCTCCTCTCTAAGAGAGGCACAGAGAAGAAACATGGATGGTGATGTGGCAGCATTGTAGGTGGGTCAGCCTAATCAATATATATAGTTCCAAGAAAGTTTAGATCACCAAAATTTACATGTAACAAAGATTGATCACTTAATTTAAGTCAAAGTTATGTTTATGGACTTCTGTTAAGTTAAATTGTTTCTGTCCAATTTACTTCTAGTTTATTATCTAAAACACATAATTCATTTCATTGTTAAAAATTTGGTATGCATTATCCTTGAACATCCCCCATCAACTGGGACAAAATAAATAAATAAATAAACAAAAAGTCATTACTTGGGCCTTGGGGCAGTGAAGAAAAGTGCTGCAAGAATCTCAAATTAGGACTAAAATAGCAGGAGAAAACGTTTTAGCTAAAGACCAAAAATGGAATAATAAAAAAACTGAGCAAAGGAGTTGAGCTGGGTTTTTTTAAACAATCACATATCAAAAACCAAGGGTCCAAGGCAGGCATCCTCCTCTACCGGTCTAATAATGTTTTTTCAAGCAACGAGTCTATAGAAAAGAAAAAAAGATTAAATTAAATAAAATTTAAAAAAAAAAAGCCTCATCATGTTCTACTCAAGAAACAAGATTCTCATTGAGAGAGAGGGAAGCAAGCTGAGCAGCAGGAGGAGGAGCATTGGTGTTGTTGTTAGCAGGTTGATGCTGCTGAACATTCCTAAGAACCTCCATAGCCTCAGCAACCTTAGCCTTCAAAGCATCCGGCGACTCCAACAAATGCAACACCTCCGTCTGATCCATCTCCAGCAGCATCCCTGTCACCTTCGCAGCATGCTCATGCTCCAACTGGTCCACCAACGGATACAAACTCTCCCCCAGCATCTGCACCAACATTTAAAAAAACCAACCATCAAAAACAATCCACTACTTCCTCTCTCCCTCACATTTACTAACCGTTCTTTGCTGCTCAGGCGGTGCGTTCGCAAGCGCAGAAGCCAATGCTGTAATAGGCACCGCCGGCTGCTGCTGCTGCTGTATTCCGCCAGTAGCACCACCATCTCCCCCTCCACCTCCACGCGGAAGTATGCCGCCCATGTCGTAAGGCACCGGCAGCATCCCTCCTCCCATGTTTCCATCTCCCATGTTCCTACCTGGGTAACGATACATTCGTCCACCCCCTCTTGGAACCATCTGTATAAAAAAATAAAAAAGAGCAAATTTCCTCACACATGGTTGCTATAGCCTATATATAGATAATAATATGGTAAATGAAAGTAATCATACCTGCTGTTGCATCATTGGAACAGGCTGCTGATTTTGTTGCACAGGACCTGCTCCACGTCTTCCCCCCATGCGTTGACCCTGTTGACCCTGTTGCACCACCGGAACAAAGAAGTTTGGCATGGGACCCCCGCCTGGCCTCATTCCGGGCACCAGCTGCTGCTGGTAACCGAATCCAGCTTGGGGAGGAATGATAGCAGGTGGGGCCTGCCCGTAAAATAGCTGCTGCCCCATTCCCGGTCCGCCTGGAGGATACATTGGCATACGTGGCGCCATCATTGAAGGTGCCATTGCAACTGGCCTCATTTGCGAGAATTGAGCCTAAAATCAACAAATCACAAATACTTTAAAAACCAATTTTTTTTTTTTTTTAAAATCAAAATTGTTTCCTGATAAATCGTTTACCTGAAGCCTTGCCCTTCTTTCTTCCTTACGTTGAGCAAGTGCAACGTAAAGTGGCTTGCTAACAATCATTTTCCCATTCATCTCACTAAGCTGTAAATGTAAAACAATCAAAAAACTCCTTAATTTTTCATTAAAAAATATATATAGTCAGACGATATTTATTAAAATCTTACAGCTCGAGAAGCCTCTTCAGTAGAGGAAAACGCAACAAAACCAGAACCTCTACTGATTCCGCTAGGATCACGCATAACCTAGCAAACAAAAAACCAAAAAAGGTTATCTTTTTATGATTTTCCCGAAACACCCTTTAATTAATTAACTAATTAATGAAGTTAAATTGACCTTGCAGGAAGTGATAGCACCATACTCCGCGAAAATCTCCTTAAGCTTATCATCATCAATGGTGTCATCAAGATTCTTGACATATAAATTAACACCTTGAAACTTATCAACAGCTTCTTTAGCAGTCTGTTCGAATCGGCTCTTTAGTTCCATTTCTCTTTCGGATTTCTTCTGAGCCTTTCCAACATACCACTCCTTATCATCAAATTTCTTCCCATTTAAAGCCTCGACAGCATTAGCAGCATCATCTGCATTCTCAAAGTTGACAAATCCAAAACACTTTGATTTCCCATCTCCATCTCTCATAACAACAGCGCTGGTGATTGTTCCATATTCACCAAATGTCTGTTTCAGATCTTCATCGGTTGTGGATTCAGAAAGATTCTTCACGTACACGTTATTGAACTTTGTCCTGCTTAAAGAAGAGTCACGTTCTTGCTTACGAAGAAAATGACCAACATAGACTTGTTTGTCATTCATCAGCATGCCATTAAGCTTATCAATTGCAGTTTGAGCAGCTTCTTCAGTGTCAAATTGCACAAAGCCATAGCCTTTTGATTGCCCTGTGCCATCAACTGCAATCTTGCAAGAGAGAATGTTACCAAAGCTTGAAAAGGTGTCGTGAAGGGCTTTGTTGTCAATGGACTTGTCCAAGTTCTGTATACACAAAATAATAGGTAAAGATATGTATAATAATATAATGTATATAGTAAGAAAGCATAAAGGAAGTGTAATCAATATACAAACCTTAATAAATATATTTGCAGTTCCACTTTTACGAATGCTCGGGTCTCTGTGAGAATACATGATGCGAATCGCCTTTCCATTTACAGCTGTGAAGTTCAGTACGTCAATAGCCCTTGCAGCTGAAAACAAACATATGTGAAACGTAAATAACTAAGAACACAATCATGAGCTACAAAAATGGTATGAAAAATGCCCAAGATTGAGAATCAATGTGAATTTACAGCAAAACCGTTTGTAAATATACAGAAAAGGAAACACTGATGTAAACAACTTACATAATCGAGCTCCACTTGAAAAATAGACAATGCACTAACAACTTTACAAGTTATAATTAACAAAAGGGATTCACGTATGTTCATGATTCATATTTCATACATTTAGAGTAGAGATTGTGTCAATTGCTAATGAAGGTGGCTGGTTTCCCATATGATCTGTGTGATAGCGAAATATCGCAATTGTATATCAAGTGAAAGGAATTCAATTCCATAATTGTATATCATGCGGAAGGAATTCAATTCTATAAATTCGTAATGCGCAGAGAACAGATCTTTCAATGGATACAGAAAACTACATTGATCAATAAAAATACAAACCAAATGTAAAAATCTCAACAGCGAAAATTGGAAATTTACAAATGCAGGTAGAGACTGACCATCAGGAGGATTGCTGTAGTTAACGTAACCATAACCAAGGGATCGCCGAGTGGACAAATCCCTACAAACCCTAACAGAGACAACCTGCCCAACTTGGTTAAACAGATCGTACAGCTGCGAATCAGTAACATTGAATTCAAGGTCCCCAACGTAAAGCGATGTCGTGACAAACGACTGATTAGCGCCGGCTGCCGCTACCGCCACCGCAGCGCCAGCAACAGCCGCAGCAGCAGCTACACCGCTAGCATTGGCCGTCGTCGTCGTCGTTGCCGACGCCACACCATTCGGTCCAGATACCGTAAGAGGTTGTACCTGAATCTGCGCCATTTTTTCTCTTTCTTTGTCTTAATTAATAATTAATTTAACCGAATCAAACCCTAACAACTCAACCACCCTCTCAATTCAAAACTTTTAAAGATTTTTTTCCGTAAAATTACCAAAAAGGGATAAAACCGCCGGAGAGCCGATAACGGAGATACTCGTCGGCGACGTTGAATAGATAAATCTAGAGATCAAAATGCGTAGAGAGCGAGCGAGCGATTGTTTCTTTTTTTGGGAGGGCAGACAGCCTGCACTGCACCGGCCGGAGAGTATTCTACAGCTTTATATACGTAAGAGAAAACCCTAGCTTTAGAGTGCGGGGTTGGGATGATCTGAGCCGTTGATTTTAGACATGTATGATGTGATCTTGAAAGTGCGGACCAAGCATTTACCGTTAGATTTAGAGGCGTAACGTGTACGATTGAGATGTCTCATCATGTGATGGTGCCGTGATCTAGTGTTTCGCGCCACATATAGTTACCGTATACGATCATATGACTATCTGGGCTTGGACAGTTTCCTCATTCCTGGGGTCAATTTGGTAGGCCACCTTGAATATAATATTGGGCTGCTTATCCCAATAATATAATTTATATTTTATTATTTTATAGAATGTTATAACTTCACGTTTTCTAGTAATTAAACAACTAATCTAGTGCTGCATGTTATATAATAACACCTTTATAATATAAAGTTGCTTTAAGGTAAGATTATTTATTTATTTTACATATCTAAAGAATCCATTTTGAATTGAAAGATCTCTGTCATATTAATTTATTTATGACTATTTGAATATGTTTTCTTTCCACATACATTGGTATACATATTAAGTTGTGTACCGACCTATGAACAATGTTTAGTATCCAACCGTGTTGTTCTTGGTTTGGCCTAATCAGCGGATTTTTTATTTTTTTATTTTTGGCTTCTTTTTTCAATTGTTCATTTATTTATTTTGTTTTTTTGTTGTGTCGTTAATGAAAAGAGGATTTTAGCTGGATTTCTTTCTTCTCATTCAATCATTGATTTTCCGTTAGGATTGCGGGAGTAGCAACGATGTATCGGGGAGGAACAATTGTGAGAGTCTGAGACGATTTAATAGAATTAAGAGGTTTTTAGTCGGATTCCTTTCTGCTTATTCAAACCTCGAATTTTCGTTAGGGATGCGAGAGGGGCGGCGATGGATTCTCTTCTTCCTGTAATATCGTCACCGATTTCATAGATCATCTTCATCATATAACCTTATACACGGCACCACAAGATAGCCCAATGGACGTTGATGTTAACCCAAATATTATTTAGAATATGATCATCTATTTTGTTTGCATTTATTTTGATTTTCATTAAAGTATTATTTTTGTATTTGCATCTTCGGAAAATTTTCAATTTGTGGTATCTATTTTCTCATCATATTTGTTATGATTTTTATCTTCCATCTATTTTGAATTTTGAAGGTCCAAACCTAACTCAATACCTTCACACGCTTTTTGTGGTTTACTCTAAACTCTAGTTTGCTCTACTCATTTTTGTGTACTTACGTTTAAATTTCATCTTTCATTAAAAATTCAAAACCACAAACTTTACATGTGTAACATTCATGCCCTTGAAGATGTACCTACAGGAATTTGAGAGAAAAGGGTACAAGACATAAGATATAGAAGGATATTATAGGTCAAGAGCACATGGGTGTAACATGTGGATCATAGGTAAACTTCTTTAAAGAATTTATGCATATTTTATTTTAGATGGGAGGGTCGTACATCGTGTGTAACCAAGTGTTACGTGGGGTGTAGCTCATTAAAACGTGGTCACAATATTTCTTGGGTGTTGGGCATACTCGTGGCATATGCAAACCCCAAATTTTTGGGTTTAAACCCTATAAAACCCCATTATCTCCATTGAGGCTGCCCTTATCTTCAACATCCATCCTCTAAAGCAGTCCCCTTGAAACCCTAGCCTTATTGGTGAGATTCTTGAGCCTTTTTAGTGATTTGGTGTGTTTTGGTGCATATTGAAGAAGAAGGAACTCATTAGAGAAGTGTTGTTTGGCTTGGAGCTTGTAGATCCAAATTTTATTCATCTTGATCATCCTTCTGGAAGTATAAAGTCAAAACATTTATGGTTCATTGCTTATATATTATTTAGCTTAGGGTTTTGCTACATTTTGGTCCCATGGGTTGATTCTTGTGAGTAAAAGCTACTCCGGAAGTTTAGGTTAGGATTTCTTGATGTTTTTAAGGTCCCTTATGCATAAAAATCATATCTTGATGGATTTAATTCAACCATGCATGAGTTGTTGTTCATAATGTGAAGTTAGGAAGTTAGAATTTGGTTTTAGGCCTCTTTGAGCCATGCAAAGGTATCAAGTTGGCAATTTTATCAGATAAGATATTCCTAAGAGATGGATATGTGAATTGGACGTTTAGACATTAGGTATTAAGTGCTTAATATGAGTTTTGAGCATCAGGGGAGTATGTTGGGTGTATCCTCTAGGTACGCTCAGTGTAACAAGTTCAGTCCCCGACTTCCTTTTCTGTTAAGATTTAAGACTAGTACGATGGGCGTAATGGGGTGGTATGCTTGGTATGCCTACCAGAAGGACATTTGGGCCATTTTTTGGCCTTGGTCATATTGGTTTTGGGCCATATTGGTTGGGCCAAGTATAAGAATGGTACAATGATCTTCTACCCTTATTATGATAGATTATGATTTGGACATTTATTTGTGTGTTATTACCCTAAATATTAATTAGGATTGGTTTGAATGTGTTCAGTGTGAGGATTCGTTTTAGCAGCAACTTGTGTGTGACTGTTATCATCGGATTGAGGTGAGTCTTTTCACTGTACTCGTGGGTCTAAGGCACCAATTTGGCCTACTAGATTATGTTTGTAGGATGTCAGTTGTTTGTGTGATACTTTCATGTCTTGTATGTTGGGCGGGGCCCGTTATGCAAGTTAGGGTGTGGCTCGTTATACTCATTGGTCGGGGCTCGCTATACAAGTTAGGGTGAGGTCCGTTATACTCATTGAGTGAGGCCCATTGCTTGCATAGTATGTGGTATTTTGGGGGAACTCACTAATCTTTGTGTTTGCGGTTCAAGTTTATGTTTCACGTACTTCCAGTGCGAAGGGGAAGGGCTCGGACTAATCGCAACGCATCCACTAGTTTCCAGCTTTTATGATTTTGGGATTGTACTCTAATAACTATTTTCTATGGGATACATTTTGAGGATTTGAGATGAATGATCGATGATTTTGCTTGATTTAAAAATAAAAAATAAAAAATAAATAAAGATTAAAAAAATACTTAGTATTTTGAGGTGTTACAATGGATTTCCAATTCTTATGTGTTGTTGTGTGGTCACGAGAATAAATAAAGCAACGGGGGGTTGCTATTATGTCTGAGAGTTGTCGCAGGCGGCTATTTTGTGGCTATGCAACAACGATTGTGAAAGCGTCCAATTTATTATGAGAACTGAAATAATTACATATATCATCATCCTTTAAATTTGATGAAATTTAAGAGGTAAAAACTTTTAATTCTCTATATATGGGTGACTAATGTAATTAGGTCTCTTTTTGTGAATTAAATACTTGATATTTTAGGGTTGTAAAGGTTGAAATTGTAGTTATTACGGCTAAAATAACCGAAGCATAAAGGGTATGATTTTGTATTATTTTGTTGAACCCACTGATGAATATGACTCCATGTTAAAGGTTTTTGTATGAACCGGAAATTCTGATGATCAAAAGATATATGTTTAGATTAAAAGGTATTTTGAAATATATAACTTTTACACTTAAGAAAGAAAATTTACAAATGAATGAAGATATAATGTTCCAAAAATAACAAGTAAAAATTTGGTTTCCTACTCAACCAAGACATTTATTCATTATTGTCACACCCTACCCAACCGTTGGCGGAAACACCGGGCAGTGTGACGTAGGGATAATTGGATCTCAACAATAGGTACAATCAAACATAAAGGTATATTTTAAACATTTATTTATTATTGATTTTTGAAGGATTACATTGTTTTTTAGACATACACAAACTACTAAAAACAAACGATACTACACTTCAATAACTCCCCTGCAGCCTTCCTTCTTACTAGCGAGACACTCCTCCACACCCATCTTCCTGAAAATACATGTATTTTGAAAATCAACATAATGTTGGTGAGTGCACGAGTTTTTATTTTTGAATCTTTTTGAGAAAACATTTCTTAATTATTAACCTAACTTTCTATCTTTTTAGGATATTTAACGATCCTAGTGTATTTTAATTAGATTATCTTTTATTAATCCTAATTTACTACATTTTTAGCATATCTAACGATCCTAATGTATTTTAATAAAGATATATTTTATTAATCCTAATTTACGATCTTTTTAGGATATCTAATGATCCTAACGTATTTTAATTAGGATATTTTTTATTAATCCTAATTTACTGTATTTTTAGGATATCTAACGCTACTAACGTATTTTAGTTATAATATGTTTTATTAATATATTAACAATAAATATATGAGAATTTACATTACTATCTTTTTAGGATATCTAATTCCCCCTATAGATCTATACATAACTTTCTTGCTCCCGCACGACTAACGCTTATATGTATTGGGGATATGCCGAATTTAATCAAGACTTTTGGATAAATAACCAACTAACTAACGCAATAACCTTAGGCTTTTATCTTTTATCTTACCATAATTACACCTATATATACACACACACATCGCACTATCTTTGTATATATCTCTCTTGGGTATATATCACCAAATGGTTTTTATGTGTGTGTGTGTGTGTATATATATATATACACATATATATACCCTATTTATGGTTATTTTAATAAGATAATTGGGCAGATTAACAACTATATATTGTGCATATCCTAAATCTTGTCTAGCATAACTCATAGGTACTAATGCTTCCTAAGGATTTAGTCATTATAACATCTAGGTAACACCTACTCCTAGATTATTGGGCAGTATAACCTTTATACATAGTATAATAGCTTAAAACTAGACCTATTCATTTTAAGAGATCTCGAATGGTCCTATGTATCTTGGGTTTAGTTTACCTCGCCTTTTGAAGCTTATAACTCTTTTCCAAGGAGATAATTTGTGCATCACCCTGTCTCCCACTTGGAATTCTATGGGTTTATGCCTCATGCCGGCATAGCTATTTTAGTCCATCACATGTTGCCTTCACGTGTTCCTTATTTCATTATCTTTTGTGGCGTCTCATGGATGATTTCTTTTCCCGTTCGTAAGGTATCCCCTGCCAACTTCTTGGCTAGTTGGGTGTCGCCAAATTCCGTCCAACAAATGGGAACGCAATATTTTCAACCATATAGTTCTTTGAACGGCATTGCTTTGATGCTTGTGTCATAGTTATTGTTGTATAAAAACTCAACCAGTGGTAGTTAAGTATCCCATGCATTCCCAAAATCTATCATACATGCTCTGAGCATGTCTTCTAGCATTTGAATGGTCCTTTTGATTTGACAATCGGTTTGCAAATGATAAGTTGTACTCATTTCCAGGAGCATACCAAGGGATTTCTTCAAGCTCCGCCAGAAACTAGAGGTAAACCTACTATCTGTGTCAGATATAATGGATAAGGGTACCCCATGTAATATGACAATCTCTTTAAGGTACATTCTGGTCAGCTTCTCCATCTTGTCCGTCTCTTTTATAGTTATGAAGTGGGAAGATGTGGTTAATCTATCGACAACTACCCATATAGTGTCTTAACCTGCGGTAGTATTTGGCAACTTGGTGACAAATTACATTGTAATCTGCTCCCACTTCCACTTGGGAATATTTGGTTGTTGCAATAATATCGAGTGTCGTAGATGTTTTTCCTTGACCTTCAACATGTTAGGCACTTGCTTAGGTAGGTGCAATCTCATCCTTCATGTTCGGCCACCGGTAATGGGCCTTTAGGTCCAGATACATCTTGTCTGCTCCTGGATGAATGGAATACCTAGTCTTATGAGCTTCATCTAAGACTAGTTCCTTGAATCCTCCGTATTTCGAAACCCATACTCAGTTCATGAAATATCTTGTTCCATCATTCTTTACTTCATGTTGTTTTTTCCATACATCTGAGGCTTTCTTCTTTAACGTTTACGTCCGTTAAAGCCTCGAGCTGATCACTTCTAACCTGGGAGATTACATTTAACTGAATAGTTATTCTAAGTGCTCTTACTCT